CACTGACAGCGATCAAGGAGGATGTGTATCACCATCTTTCAGAGGTGTCCCAGGAAGGATTCATGCTTTAAAGGGGATTTGGGCTCTCTTAATGACCTCTGAGATCACTTTTATCTCTCCGATTTTCCATTAATAAGTGTTAAGCTGGCCCTTCTGCAAACTCAGACAATGGAAATTCCCAAAGAACAGGCCACAAAAGTTACAGACTACCACTAAATTGCTCTTTGGTGTTATTAATGTTATTTCCCCACATACTTTTTTTAGATTGACCTTATGTAGTAAAAATAAACTAAGCAGACAGAAACAAATGTTTATGTATATGGTAATTGTGAAAGTAATTAGATATATTCTTTTCTAATTTAAGATTATCAATTAAAGAAGAAATTTGCTAAATAAAAAAGATTTCTAAAATCTTAAGACCTTTTAAAAATTCACTAAATCAGGGAAAAAAACAATCTTAAGGGATAAAAAATGTCAAATTTGGAAATGCACGTTTTCATTTGGTCCATCTTTTGAATCACCCACAAACAAGAAAGATTTATATAGTGTGCATAATCTTTTCTCAGGAAATCTAGATACTGAATCTTAATGCTGAAATGATAGAAAACAGTTGCTATAAAATACTGTGCTATTGATATTTACTATAAAATATATTTTGCATATTAAACAAAATAGCTGTAAGCAGGAAGCTAACCAAATGCAAGTGCCCTGGCTGGAGGACTAATTCACTAACGCTCATTCTACACTTATTGTCTGTTAGCTGGAGAAAGGTAAAATTCTAAGGCAAACATCTCACAGGGTCTCTCTTACTAGAATTCACTGTTAAATTGCGCTGGTTGAGCCTTACTCATTGTCTTCCTTACCCGTTGTTATTGCTACACCATTACTGTCAAAATTTACTGCTTGTGAAGAAAAGATAATAGACCTTTAATGCTAATCCTGTTCTATTTCGTGTGTGTCCTTAGAAACTAACAATATATTAACTCTATAATATTAGCCTGAAGGAACCATTTGCTGTTTTAAAACACCAGAATATCAAAAAACCAGAAAACCGCTTCGATGTGACTGCCCTTTCAGCTTTATTAATTTAGGCAAAAATGACAGGTTAATTTATATGGTTCACACCTGTCAGGAGCAGAGTCTTTACTAATACAGTTTACACTGACCAAGAGGTCCTCCCTCAGGCTAAGGTTGAACTTCAACCTACTACTGAATAGAGTGTAACACAAACATGCCACTCAGATTTCTATGAAGACAATCCCTTCAGAATTCCACATGGATGGCACACCACCCTGCAAGTGTTCAAAACTGAAGTTGAAGGAAGAGACCTTATCTATCCAATGAAGACTAAGTATTTGATGATCAAGCTATATGGAGGCCCATGAATGTTTTCCTAAGTCTTTTGTCTTCCACTCTTCCCAAATTATATTATAGCCCAATTGAAAAAGTGCTTTATGCTACAGAAGAATCTAGTTTCCTTAATATCGTTAAAAACATTGTCTTTATCATCAAGAAGTCGTGAAAATCTAATGAGGTTTCAACTCTGATTCAAGTTCCAAACAAGAATAAAGAAAGCTAACTTTGACTTTAAATCCACAAGGGAAAAATAGCCTCTGTTCAATGCTTGCAGAAAGTAAAACATGCTCTATTGTAGCTTTCACGAGCGTAGCGGCGCTGCCCTGTCCACAGCATCAATGGAAGAGCTCTAGCTGAGCAGCACCTATACTGAGTTTAGAAAGAGTCTGCAAGGAGCCTCTATATTTCTTTCCATAGTTGCTCAATTACTATTCCACATTTCTACTACAACCAAAAATATTTTACATGGAAATTTCAGCCTTTGAGAAAGTACCCAAGCCTTCAATGAAAACCACAAAATGTGCATTAATCACAGTAAATAATGATAACACATGACAGATCAATACTGATGCTACCTAATCAAACATACAAAATATGCTTATAGCAACTGTGAATAATTCTATATTCATGACAATATCTTAAATGTTTATACATAATTTTACAGGTAAATTCTTAAATATCACAATTTATCAAAGAGTCAAAATTTATTCCATTTCAATGCAAAGGCTTTAGACCCAAAAGATGCAAATAACCATCTAACCTACATTTGCCAGCTAAAGAGTTGTTAGAGCAAATGTTACTTAGCCCAGTCTTTTAACTTAGTCTTTATAATTTTTGAGATTAAAAAAATTATGCTGAACTCAAGTATCATTTTGTGTGTAGAAGTGTTGTGGAATATAAAAAAGCACTGATGAGAACAACATGTTAAACATCATATTTTTATTTCTGGACAAGTAAGACAATGAACTTTAATCTAAAACAGTCAAAACCTACACAATTTATCTAAAAACCTCATTTAAACTCCCCAAGCTAGTCTTTTCCTGTATTTTCTCTGTGTATATTTATATAATATTTTAAACCTTATATTAATTTATTTATAAAGAAAAATAAAAGTTAAGGCCAATTTAATAATATACACTGTTACAATGTCAAAATAGTCTAGCCTAACACTAGCTCTTCAAGTACCTTTATCCATTTTACCTATGTGCACTACCAATAACCAACATCAACATGCAAGATCTGTAATATTTTCTAGCTTCTGTCATTTAAATCAATTCACTCATACCATGAAGTCAAAGAGGTGAGCACTTAAAAAGAAGAAAGTAATTCATTAAAGATACTGGATTAAGCTGTACTGAAGCTTGCAGCTAGTATGAATTAATAAAATATCAGTATTTTTTAATCATCTCTAAAAACTGGCAAACCAACTGTAATAGGAGCTGCAATTTGGATCTTTTGACCAGTAAGATACAGTAAGAATACTAGAATCATTAGTAACCATTATTAATTGTAACCTAGTGATTTTAGTTTGGGGTGTGTATTAGGTTTGGTTTTGTGTTGATGATAAAGTTGCTTTTGGTAAATCTTTGCTCGTGTCTCACCAGCTAAGATTCATAAAGTCAACAGGCACATCTCGTTTCTTCAAATTATTTCAAGGTGCTCCACTAACTTGTCCCCTCCATTAATTCGTGCTTTTCACAAATATAGCTTTTGAGAAAGAAATATAGCTGACCTCTTTTTCTTTTCTTATAAATATAGCTTAAATTTTAAACTTTAAAGGAAAAAGAGTTTAATACCCAGACAGATAAAATAACCTGAAGCATCTCTAAGAAGGAATGTGAAGAATAGTATGAAAATGAAATGAATGAAATGATGACAAGATTTAACTCTGAAATGTCTCCATTTTTCAGAGCTGTCCAGGGAATTGCTTCCTTTGGACTGAGAGCACAAGTACACTTCCTCAGCAGCTAAAAGCCTTTCAAAGAACCAGACAGATACCACTGTGCATCTGAACCTCATATAAAACAAAAACAAAGTGTAAAATGGCAACTCACGATATTTCTAAGCACACAATTAACCTAAAGCAGGAAGAATTTTCCACACCTTTCCTATTGCAAAATATTTTAAAGAGAATATTCACAGTTAAAATAGACTTTTACTCAAAAGCTTTTCTTATACAAATATTTAAAAAATTAAAATTAAAAAGGTCTGGCTTTCCCTCACCCCTTCCTCCACCAAAAAATGGATCACAGATAATACTTCAAAAGAATATTTTATTTTATCTCCTGGATTTTGTTTTTCAAGCAACACTCTCTAGAACTCTAGGAATTCTAGAAAGACTTCCCAGTATATTTCAGTATGTATTTACTTAAAATAAATTTCTAAAATAGACATTTGTATAATATACGCTGTTCAACTTCATGTGTATAAATAACTATTCACAGAACTATAATTTGCATGCATTTGAACTTACATTTCAGAACTTAAATTATAAAACTGGGAAAGATAAAACATCAAACTTATTAATATTCATACACAACTCAAGAATAAAAGTCTTGATTAAAAGATTCATTTTCTGATCAATGTGTTAACTCTGAATGTTTCAAACTCATCAAAAAATTATAGAAAGCATTTCCATATTTAACATAACACCAAGATCAATCATCAGCTGTTTTTGTGCTGCTACACAAAAGAAGTCATCTTAAGTTATTTTGGATATACAGAAATTCAAATAAATCCAACCAGTGTAAAAGATTAAACTTTATCATTATGTAATTCCTTAGGTATTCCTTCAGACTTTCATATTATTAATTAGATTAGAATCAAGCACATTAAATGAGAATAAACATAAACTCCTAGGAAAATAAAACAATGGTAAAATGTGGGCATGCCAATAAATTTAAATGTAAGCAAGTCTGAGGTTTTTAATCTTGTGGGTTTGGGTTTGGGGATGTTGCTCTTTGGGATTTTTACCCCCTTTTACCACAAGGTTGATTCATGAATGAAATCCCACTTTAAGATCCTATTTTCTCTCACTTACATGTATGCTGGAGAAAGTGGAGTTGACCTGGATGTTTTAAGCACAGGAACTGGGAATTTCCAGATAGCAGGAGAGCTCGTTTTCCATTTCAATGGCATGTTGTCACCACGGTACTACAATAACAGTAAACAGCGTTTCCATAACAGACTACCAACGAGGACTTCCATTCCACACTGTACTGACACAGCAGCGGCTGCCACGGAGAACAAGCAAGCGATTCTGCTAGTGCCCTTAAACCGATGCTTCCAATCTGTACAATAGGGCTGCAAGATACCTCCTTTCAATCCTCCTGTCCCCTAAAGCAATACGATGATTCTACCATTCTCACTCAACAATAGTGCCACCTCGTTAGGAAAGCGTTGACTGCAGTATTTTTTTTTTAGGACTGCACTGTGCATACCACACAATGCAGCTTTATTTAATAAAAGCGGCTAGGGTTTTGCTTTTTTGTTTGGTTTGGTTTTAAGCTTACATTACCATTCTTCTACCTTAACAGGGATACTGCAGCACTGTACTATATTCTGCGCCTATTAACCTGATTTCTGACCAGTAGTAGCAGGGAAAAAAAAGTAGATGGGTTTCATATGAAAATGAAACGACATACCTACTCAGAATACACTTGTCATCCTCTGAACATTCTTCTTTTGAGCTGCAACAATACAAATGGGATATAAACCTCAGCATAGCCTTAGGCCACCGTTAATAGAGATCAGTGACTAAATTCGGCAGCCTCCTTTCCTCTTGTGCAAGCTCTGGCCACACAATACAAGAATGCCATTATGGGAAAAGCCCGTTTAAAAAATGCCAGTCTCTGTTTTCCCATTAGAAGAAGGCAAAATGTAAGAATAAATATAAACTGCTGCAGAACTCTGCACGCTCTTCTAGTAGCTTCTTATTCAAGTTGTTCTCCTTTCCCTATTCTTATTTCCAAGCCGGGATGAGCAAAATCTCATACATTTACAACACGCCGTAGTAACACCAATATCACTCTTGTCTTCTGCAGCAGAGAAGTACAGAGGAGCGTGCTCTTAATAGCAGTCTCGGAGGGACGCTATCAACAATCTAATTCAATGCTGCCCTCCCCTTCTTGTCTCCCCCTTTCCCCTCCCGTTCCTCCCGCCCTCCTCCTCCCACCCCCAAACAGCTCACAATTTGCCTAGAGGAGAGACCAATGCTACTGGCCAAGCAGGTGTCCAGCAGGGACCATTCCAAAGCTCAGCAGCGGTCGGATTACCTCTTGGGGTTAGTGACTGAAAGGGAGGTTCAAAATTAAAGCTGCTGTCAAAGGCAGCTTGAAGTATTTCACGAAAACAATGGCAAATACAGGGCTCATCTGTACTGTTCTAAAATACTGCTAGAAAATAGCATCATAAGTGCTCCGAAAGTGACTGGGTGTTTTAGTTTCTGTTTAAAGCACCAAACTCACACATTTTCTATACAATTCTAAGAACTGAAAATAGGATAAACTAGTATTATGCTGAACTCTTTACAGGCTGAAGAATTTTACTTCTGATATAGGCAAGTTGCCATCACTAGGTATCTACCTTCATGGCATCCTTCTGCTTCTACCTAAAAACAGAATTACCCATCTTCACCAGTGCAATGTTAAGACAGCCATTGACAGGAAAGCCACTAACTTTTTTAAAAATCACACTACTGACAAAAAACTCATATTTACTTTCTGGTTTGCATGCAAACAATAAACTTGTGCTTCCAATTTAAGTATTTTGCTTTCAGATACTCTTCCCAAATTATTCCTACTTTTCAAAAGATTGAGATTTAGTCCCTTAAGAGGTTTTCTCATTTGTATTTAAAAAGCACAGTTGAATGTTTCTGTAGAAAGAAACTACTTTTAAATATTCCAAAGGATATAATTTAATATACCAGAAATAGAGCATGAAATCAGCTAAGGAATCACAAGTACCTTCTTTTAAGATGCACATCAATATTCAGGCAAAAAGTCCTTTCCTATGAAGCCCAAATATATGTATATGCAGTATATACATATACACATTCATACATACATATATGGAGAGAGAAAGCTTATTTTGAAACACTAAATGGTAATGCATAAACTTTATTAAATATTAAATAGATGTCAGCCACCACTATCTCAATGATTTTTATTCCAACTTTCATGTACAAATATGCTGAAAAATCCCAATCAAGTAACTTAAAGGGTTAAACTATATTTCCAACTCTTTTGAGCACCAATACACAAAACTGTCTCATGGAAATCTTCAAAGGAATCAGAGAAAGGAATATTTGTCAATACCTTATTGGCCAAATATATAGTTTAAAAGGTTTTAAAAGTGCCACTAACACAAATAAACCATAATCAATATTTTACATTAGAAGGCTTTGTATAATAATTCTTAGTGGTTATGGGGCAAAAAGGTCCCAAGTACAAAACGCAGTGGTAATTTGCTGGAAACCTCAAGAAGGAAGCACACACACACTCAACAAACAAGTTTGGAATGTCCCATCCCAAAAACCTGAAGCATTCGCAAACATTTAAAATTGTAGAACATAAAAGGGCTACAAATTAACCTGTATGTAGCAAGGAGTGATGTTTTAGAAAGGAAATTCAACCACTTTCCAATTTATGAAAATCTTACAAAGCAGTAATTATAAATATAACTTCTAGAACAAAGTCCCTCCAAATTAGGTAAAAACATGGTAGTGAAGTGTTTTGAACAGTCTATAAAGACTGCTCAACATTTATGAGTAGGAATAGGGTGAATATAGAGTTTTCCAAATTTTGAAGAGGGTAACCCTCACAAATAGGTGAAGATCACTTTACTGCAAAGATTTTCAGGTTATTATTCCTCTGTGAACAATCAACTGATTCAAAAAGCCAACAAATTGTTTGTCTAATCTCATTAGGCTCTAAAGAAATCAACCAATACCACCAAATGATCAATCTCAACTTCAGTCTAGATTTTTCTGAGACTTAATGTTTAGAACCTGTTTTTGTGGCCCTCCAACAATTGTAGTGTTTGATCAAAGTGAAAAGAAAATAAGGCTGCTTTCCTCCATCCCACCCTCGGTACTCTTAAAGACTCCAAAACCCTAAAAGCTTTACATCTGATAAAGAACATTTATTCATATTCCATTATTTTGCTTTAATAAATTGCTAGAAATCATTTGCAATTATCTCTTATGAGCAAACAACTAATATGCCAAAGGCTTTAACAATAATCCTCTAAGCAGAAATACAGTTCATGAAATATACTTTACACTATTAATTTGCTTAACAACACCATTCCTCATACATTGTTTAAAAATAAACTTCAGACAGATAAGCAGAGCCCAAATTAGATTTTACTACCCTGATGGCGACTCCAGTAGCAACTATGGATTGTAATTACCATTACATTCTGGAACTAAAAATGTTTTCACCTACAGAGTGAAAGGAAGAAAGTGATTAAACATGTATTTTAAATGTACTTTTATGCAGGCTCGGTGTCCCACTACTTTAATATTTAGATTGGGAAATGTCAAAAACTCTTGTTCACAGCATAGAAAACACTGATTTCATTTACAGAACGCTAGATTTCTATTATGGACAACTGCATAAAACAGAACAGAACGACAACACACACAAAAGTTCTTCAAAGCATTTTATAAACATTAACGATTCACTTAAAAATACCTGTGAAATGTGTATTTCAGAGATATAATAAAAAGGGACAATGCTGGGACTTGTTCAGGGCTACAAAAAGAGTCAAATCTTACGGCACAGAATTCCCTGGTTCCCAACGTAGAAAGAAGATTTTTATAACTTTTAGGATTCTTACAAATCATCTTGCTCAGCACTCTCATTGTATAGACAAAAAAACTGAAGCTCAGAGAAGTTAACTTGTCTGATGTCACACTGCTAGGCAGCAGCAGAAATGGAACTAGAAACCAAGTTTCTGCCAGTCTAGAATCCCTACTGTCCCTCCTTCTCAATGAGACCATTCCATAGGATGTGTGCTTCTCTATGAAGTGAAGCACATTCTGTAAATGTCTCAATGTATTCTAAAGACACAATAACTACAAAGAGCTATGTACTCTTCCAACTATACACACTGTCAAAGACAGAAGTGGGAGTGAAATACCAAAAATATGAAAGTGTGCAAAAAGACCATTTGCAAAATCTGAATTCCAAAAGATGTTTAAAAATGGTGAGGGAGGAAAAGGTAAGCAAAAAGTAAACCAGTCATAGTATGGAAGAAAAGTGAAATATACAGCTACAAGTCTAATTTATTCCTTAATGTAAATGTTTCTAAATAACTTTATGGGAAAATTTAACTCACTTACCAACTGACTGCTATAATTTGTCTCCAGTACCACCACTTAACTGAATGAGTTGACTAAATATGTCACGTTTCTGACCTCTCTCCATATTTTCCCAATATTCCCTAAGAACTGACCTACCTTTTTCCTCCAAGTTTTGGTTAATTCTGTGGTAGGTACAACTAAAGACTAATAGCATTAACTGCAGTTCATGTGAGCAGGCACTGTGTAATCTTCTCTTCAATCCTGAAAATGTCTCTTCAGATTAATCTGGAATATCCATGTTATTTGTGCTGCTCGCATAAGACTGCAGATCATGCCAATTATGTGCTCTGTTATGTTCAATCAGTCAATAAAAGTACTTGGATGACAACCAAGTATGGCTGTTAAACCCTTTAAAGTCCACAAAAAATTAACTTCTGGACAACAGAGCAAATTCTTACTACATTCAGGGCTCCTTATTACAGGAAATAGAACTGTTTGCATGAATGATTATATATACTTGTGTGTGTGTGTCTGCTTTTTTGTTTCAGGAAATTGAATATCAAATAATTAAAATTTTCTTACAAGAAACTCATATATATAGCTTTGCTAAGATCAAAATGGAAAATCCCAGATGTTTCTCAAAGACAACTACATTGGAAAGTCATCATTTCATCTTTTATAAGCACCTTCTCACATGTCAGTTTCCACAACAGAACTGTGTGGATCCTTATAGTTCCACAAATTTATATCTATGACTATGCCTTGGATCAAATAGTGCTTCTCTCCTTCAGAATACAAAGAAGTAGAAAAACACAACTGTTGTGTAGGCACATACTCATGCACATGTGCGTATATGCCAGAGGATTCCTCCATGATGGCGTAAGTAATGTGAAGGGAAGCATTCTTCCCATCTTTAACATTTCCTAAGGATAAGAAGGGTACTAACTTTTGGGAGGAAATGGGTACAGAACAGCAAAAAGAGGGGCTGGTAAGCTGGTAAGACAGGCAACAATAGGTAAGGGGACCAAACTGAGGAGGGTAATGATTGGCTGGAGAGAGAATGGAAAGCCAGAATGGCAGTGATATCCTATATTTATGTATCACCTTTTATAATTGGGAGTTAGATGAATTAAGTTTGCAGGGAAGATAGGAGTTGGGGTAGAAGGGCAAAGATCCAGAGGAACTGAGCAGATAAGATTCAGTTGTTGGGTATCCAGTGACCCACAGATTCTGACTGCCCTTACTCTCTCATGACATCTGAAAAAAGGATTATAATGAGTGGGTAATCCAGAAATTCTTGCCTTTCCTTCTTCCTTTTGTTTTGTATAGCATCTATATTGTTTATAGCTTTTTTTTTGGCACCCTTGAGTGCTTCATTCATATATGATTCCTAAATCCATATGCCCAACTAAGTCTTTGTATATCTTTGAAAGTCATCAACTAAATTAATTCTTAAGTATTCTATTCCCATCTATTAAAACAATGCCTTAAACTCCAAATCAAAGTGTTTGTATGTGTTGGGAGTGGTGGAGGCAGAAATAGATGATTTAAAAATATATACTATCTATATACCTGATTTTCACTACCATTTATAAATTGTTTGAAGAAAGCAATTTAGAAAGACAATTTTTCATCATCAAACAAGGATAATGTATCCAGTGCTCCAATAAGAGGTCATGCTATTACCACACCCTGTGTTCCGGCCATGCTAGTTCATCTGCCTGCAATGCCCTCTCCAAATTCCTGCTCCCCCATGAAGCAATCCCTAAATCTTTGTATCTTCCTAATT